CACAGGCGAGAAAAAATACACCCAGGCATCTTGGGTGGACGTTGAGGGCATGTCGGTGAATTTGAACTACTCAGGGAAGAAGTTAATCCTTTGTAGTATTTGCATTGGCACGAGCAGCCATGCCAACGTGGGCTTTAGGTTCCTGGATGACAATGGCATACTGCAGCATATGCGCACAAAGACAAACAACAGGGAGCCTACGCATTTCTCCGTAGAGCCCAACCCCGGCAGCGCCGAAAACATCTCGGTTTGGACTTTCCACGTGGTTGCTGATTGCCATGGGAAGGTAAAGCTGCAAATACGTGTAGACGATTCTGGTAGTGTTTGCGTGAATAGCATAGAAAATCAGAGAGATACGGCATACAACCACGCTACCATTAGCACTCTTACGGTAATTAGTCTCTAGAAGCAAATTTATTTGCTTGTATATATGCATACTTACTGTCTAGACCAAAAGGCGTATAGCGAAGGGAATGAGTGGATTGATATCGGAATGTGGGTTGAAGTTGGGGGTTTGGGATTGATAATATGCACTATTAGCATTAACACGGGTAATGGCGCAAATGTGGGGTTTAGGCTCATTGACGAGAATAACCACCCATTGCCACTTTACAGGACAAAGGTCAATACTAGGGATTCGGCCCACGTTTCGTCGGAGCCCCCTCCGCTAAGTGCAGAAGACTTAACGCCGGTTACTTTTCATATGATAGCCAACTGCCAATATGCTAAGCTGCAAATTCTCCCCCACGATGGCAATGTAAGGATAAATTACGTCGGCGGGAGCGGCACCCCCGACAGACCCTGGAGCCATAAGCCCATTAGCACCATGAGTGTGCTGCCGCTAGTTCCGCATTATCAAGGCGGCGCGAATACTATCTTTACTTATCCCCAGTCGAGGATGCCTCGGATGCCCGACGACGATAAGCCACCAGTAACGTACAAGGATAAGATTAACCCCTCATCTTCTTCAGGAGTACCACGCCGATAGCGGCAACCAAGATCCAAACGTTGTTACCTACGAACTTCAACAGTTCTCCTCCGGCCTTTAGGGCCAAGGAAACTACAGAACCCAGCAGCCCTGGAATACTGGCTGCCATTTTTTTACCCAAGTCTGTTAGCCCTTTGCCTAACGTCTTCACACCGGCGCCTGTAGCTTTAAGGGCAGATATGATTACCCCTACGACGCTTGAAACGGCGACTGCAAATGCTAAAGGTACCCCATACTTCAAGAGGGTCCTTTTTATCTTTTCTTTGGTGGTTAGTCCCAATTCCCTTTCCAAGTTCTCCCTTTGCGCTTGTAATTCCGCCAGTCTCTCCTGAAGGGCTTCTACTTCCCGTTGAGCTGCTTCCCTTTCCTCTTCGGGGCGAGTTTGATCTTCGATGACTGTTCGTTGC